AAATATTAAGATAAACATTTAAATAAAAATTATGCTCGAAAACGGATTAATAACGTATAAAAAACTTATAGAATATTGTTTTCATTTATTTAAATTAATATAAAAACCTATCTTGTGTACCAAAATACTGTTCGTATTGTTTTTTTTTACTATTATTATTTATAAGGTTTAAAGCTTACCCATGTAGAATCCAAATTACAGTATAATCTTTTTAATCTATTCACATTTACTGCTATTTTTATCCATTATGCTAACATTTCGCATTAAAATTTACCATCACAAACATTAATTTTAATTTTAATATAACATAAAACATTACAATACATCCGTTCAGCTATCAAATTAGATTCACGGTGCAGTGTTAATTAAACATGGTGTCCAAGTTTTTGTAAAATATAATGTTATAATTAAAAATTGATCATCGCATTCAAAAAATAATCTTAAAACTTTTACGCTGACCTATTTAAACATCACATTAATCGTATAATGCAATAGTGTCACAGAGACGTTTTGCATACTTTTTAGTAACACGGTCCGATAAATCCTTTTGAAATTCGCACATAAAAGATAAATCGACCAAGATTTCACTAAGCTTATCTTCCTGTCAAAAGGCGCATGCTAAGATGAATAGTAATTGTATAACATCCAATGTCCAGTTACCAAAACTTGTCATTTTTCCGTCTCTGTAATATAGACTTATTGTTGTGGGTCGTTGAAGATAGGACCACGATCGTTTGTCATTCTCAATGTTACAATATATTAATGTAATGCACGCGTAAAAACTCACATATACAGATATGTGTACAGATCAGAATTATATATTTATATTCAATAATATACACGCATTTTATGTGAGCTTAAGTCGGTAGAAAAACAAACAAAGCAAAATACGAGCTTGAACTACATCCTCATAACATAATATTCTGAAGTTATAATTCCGTGATAAATTCGTTGTTATAAAGTATGCGCTGCTCTCACGTTTATTTTAACGAATTTATGTACAAATACAAGTATTTTTGTGAATTATACAGAGTAGTTATATAGAGTGATTCATCAATCTTTTCTCATTTTTTTTCATTTAAAAATAAAATTTATCATTAGTTTATGAAATATTTAAATATACTTAAAGACCATATATTTTAAAATTATTGAGATTTTTTTATGCCACCACTTAAGGCTAGTGTCATGTTGATGAAACAAACTTATATTTTTTAACTTTTTTTTTACTGTAAATTATTTTAGTTGATATAATTTTTTTTTTAATTTCAATGTGCTAATAAATATTAACATGTTTTTACTAAGGGAAAAAGTGCTTGAAAATAGTTTTAAAAAAAATATATATATAATATTATATTTATTATTATATTTAGTGAATAGTGTTCATCATAATAAATTTCACCATTTTTACGAACATGAGTGTTCATAGATTATATAAACATTTTTAAATGTCTACATCTACATATCTTCCAAATCTATTAACACAATACAATTATGAATTTTAGTTCGTGCAATTAAATAACTCAAATATTACTCATTCAAATGTTTATCAACATTTTCAAAAAAAATTATCTATTAAAGAATTTAATAAAAAAGAGAGAGAATATTTAAAAAACAAAAGCTTCCATTTTTTCAAGATTTTTGTTAATTAGTTCACAAATATATCAACAATTTTTAAATATCTAAGTAAATTATACAAAAATATCAAGAATCAGATTTTAAATAACTACATTATTGAAGAAATAATAAGGCACGTGTATGCTTGGTGAACCCCTATGTACATACAAGTATTTAACATCAAATGTTTTTAATTCAATAATATTAAAGTACTGTGAAATTTATTTTCAGAGAAATAGTTATTATAGTCGTACAAAACAAAATGCCAATAAGACAATAAGTGAACCTCGTTGATTCGACCATGAATATGTCACTGATTTGGATAGGCCGAATGCCAAAATGTTATTGGACCTGTCTGGGTATATTTGGATTGTTGTAATATAATTCAATATGTTCCATTTTGACGAATATAATACAATAAAATACCATTAGCGAAAATAAAATTTGAGTGATGGTTTTTTAATTTATAATATTTTTACTCCATATATAAATTATTATTACAAAACATATCGATTTTAATTTTACAATTATTATTTTAAGATTATAGGATGATATTTACTTACATATGAAATGGATATTAAATTCTAATATATTATTTTAAATATCAGAAAATGATTACCATATTTATATCTAAAATATAAGTATAGGATAAAGACTTAAATCGTAAACATAAAAAAAAAATAATAATTATAAGTTATAACTTATGAATATTAAATTATGGAATTGTAAAACAATTTTATATTATTAAATAATTAGTTCTTTAACATAGTTTTCTTGAATGATATGATTTTAATTATTAGTTTTTGATTTATTATAATGCCGCCACAAAGCATAAAAATATAATCACTTCAAAGTGGCCAACAAATAACAATATTTTTAGATTTCTAGAAATCGAATAATAACAATCAAAAAGAAGATTATCACTATGATTAACAAAATGTAAGTACATATTTCAGGACCCTATTTCTAAAGCTCAGTCTTAAAACGAACAAAAAATGCGGGTTAGTTCAAAAAATAAGAAACAAAACACGTTGTAATATAACTCGAAATTTAATTGAGTTCTATTTGGTAGAGTTCTTATAGTGATCAAAGCCTGGGGGGAAAAAAATTCTTTTGAACAAATGTTATCAACGTAGTTAGGGTATTTCAAAATGTTAAATTTCTTCGTAATACCATATTGATTTATTTATCATAATCATTAATAAAATAATACATTTTTTTTTTTAATATGCAATCTTTTTTTTTTTTTTTTTTTTTTAATATTTAATTACTTATTAAAAACCAATATATATTATATTAACAGTATATTATGACGGGGAGATAACAAACCAGTAACTACGTATTGTAATAGTATAGTATTGCATAGTAGTAAAATAAAAATCGATTTTCATATGAATAATTAATAAATTATTACAGAATAACAGTCATTCTCTCCGAATACTTACGCACAAATCTCGGATTCAAGATCTTTAATCACATTTAAACATGGCCAACAGTTCCATAGTTGAAGTAAAAACCAACAATTTTAAATTTACGTATATTATATAAAGATATAATAGATATTAGATATGTGAGTGGAATATAATTATATTTAACTATATTATATTTAACTCGAAGGCTTTGATTGTGCATTTCAGACAATGCTACACATTCGGCAAAAACGAATATCAGGTCGTACTTACGGACAAGTCCTGTCACGTTTCAAACTGCAGGATATGAATGGCCCTTATTCCTTTGTACTCTAAAAGTTATAGTACTTATAAGTTTCTGTTTTCGCATTGCATGATGTAATGTGAATTTCGATTTTAGACAGCTACTTAATCAATTTAGTAGTATAATATAGTAATAATTAAAATAATATGTTTAGTACAGTTTAAAAGTTTTTAAAACAACGTTTTTATGATCATACATAACATGTAATGGTATACCGGTATACATTATTGATAATTTGATATATTATTATGTTTATAATTTTTATAAGTAATAAAACAAAGAAAAATAATTGATTTTATATATTAACGTCTATACAAGTGTAATATAATTTTGAAAAACTTAACATCACAATAAGAAAACTCATTTCATTAAGTATAATTTATAAAAATTGAATTCGGTTATATTATTTTATTATTATCTTTCAAATAATATTGATTTGGATTAAAAGAAGTAAATATAATGTTAGCTTGTACACATTTTTTGAAATACTAGATCAAACTGATCCATATTATAAATTGCAATTTGCAGGTAAGCAATATTTACGCACTAACCATTTTCAAACGAAATGAAGATTTAAACAATAAAGCTATTGATAATGTTAAAGAGGTAATAAACGTCATGGATGATTTGAAAGTTAACAAATCTAGTATAAGAAACTAAATGAATAGCTATTTGAACATAAAATATTTATATCTATAAGGATTCAATTTAAAACACATAAATTTAAAATTTAAAATGCATGTACCTATAAATCAAAACAAAATTTAATTAGTCTTTTTGTTTTTAACACCATTATTGAAATAAAAATAAAAATATGTTACAAAACAATTTAGGTATTGAACTTTAAATTATATTAAAAATCCACTAATATAAAATATTACAATAATCTATCATAACCAATAAGTGGACATTTTGTAAATAATTGTTATGAATATAGAAACTGATATAATATAATATTTTCAAAAACGAATGCATCTTTACACGCAATTCGACTTGTATTAATAATTATTGTAAATTTATATTTATTTATAATATCAAATATTACAAAAAGTTAAAATACTTAAAATATTTATTTATTTGTTTTTAATTAATTTTGTGTTTTTCATTGCATGCTGCAATACTTATACATGACATCATTTTTTTCCAACTCAATCTTTTTGTTAACTATATTTATATTCTCAAACCTATTCACGGGTCGTATTAGAATATTTTTAATTTTATCTCAATCTTTACTCAATGAAAAACGCACATTTTTGCTTTCACAATTCACATTTAATTTAACATTTGGGGCTATTAACTGCCTCAAAATTCTTTCTTAAATTTGTTCAAAATAAATTTCCTTGTTACAAGAGACCCAAAACATTTGTTCTTCAGTAAAAACGGTATTTTTAACTGGACTCATCCAATCTTTTTATGATCACAGGTAACAATTTTGTTTTAGAATATTCTTAACAGTACTTAACGCCTGTATACTACCAATGTAATAATATGATGTATTATTATGTTAAAATTGTTATGCACTTGTACTATGTCAAAACTACTCGTTAGCACATGGATGATTCCACTTTTATCGAAATGGAACTGTAACTGTCCGAAAATTCGAATAAATTATTAAACAATATTATAGGCGTAGTAATCGGTAAAAGTCGGTATGGGTTATGCGTCGCGCTTACCGGTGGTTATGCTGCCGATGAGGGTAAATGGTACGCAGACGACGATGACCAGCAGATCGGCAATTGCCAAGTTGACGATGAATATGTTAGTGGGCGACGACTGCATCCTCACGTTCTTGTACACCACAAGCACCACGGACATGTTTCCCACGAAGCCTACAACGAACACGGCCGTGTATGCGATGCAAAACAGCACAGTCACCTCAGGCGAGTACCTCATCCGGTACTTTTGCCACGGCCAATTGTCCAACCCGCCGTAATCCCACAACGCGCCGCCGCTCTGGTTGGCGTCCCTGCTGACATTTTTGAATTACGGTCATTACAAGAGCGTATAATATGTAATATGATACTGTTTTCCAGTCGAGTGCCTTGACGATAATTATTATTACCATTTTTTTTTTTTTTTTTTTGAACAGTAAAAACATCCCAAAATCCCTTTCTACTGTTGAATGATGTTATTATTTTGTTAGAAAACAAAAAAATTAATTATTTTATAAATTATACGTTATTTTATCATATACATTAAATTCGTATTACTCTTCCTACTTAAATAGATTTGGTAGAACCCCCTGCCCTACTAAATTTTAATTATTATTATTCTTAATATTATTAATATATAAATGTATATTTTTAATTTTACTCATTATGTTTTTACTTGTCTATAATTGGTTAGAAGTCAACAGTATAGCTTGAACTTGGGATTACTAGCTAATATTTTATAATATTATCAGTGATCTCACTATTATAATGATATGAATAATACATTTTGAACAAAAAAAAAATATATTTTTTTCATTTTTGTGAAGATTCGAAATAAGTTTTGGCAGCAAAGCAAATTTTATACAAAATGTGTAAGAAAATCTGAATTGAAGCTCCAAGCTATTATATTGTAAACTATTATTATATTTAAATGCATTTATATTTTAAAACAATTTACAATTTTCATATTGGCAATTAAACATACTAAAATATTTAAATATATTATACTTTCATCACAATAGTAATACATACTTGTATATTTAAATATACATTAACTCATGCTTATAGCGCTCATGACTTTTAAGTCATAGGGTATTGTAAATGCTATTTCAATTATAATTTACATATTTTGAATGTAATTTGTATTGATAACTTGTACGTAATGATTTTTAAAATGTACTCAGGTATAATTATATTATGTGTATACAAGGAAAATTATGACTGATGTGACAATAATACGTGTTCAAATATTGTGGAATCGTGATAAGACAAAGTGATTTTAAATAGACGAAAACTGTTTAAACGCCATTGAAGTCATACTGTCAACGTATTAATATTTAACATGTAAATCACAACACTCAATACATTGATACCATCAATAATGTTTATATAAATTTCACATGAAATATTTCAATAATATTTATTACAATTGAATATCAGTATCTAATGATATTTATCATATTAAGTTTTTAACTTAACACTTAATGTCAATTCGATTACTTACCTAGTCTAAACTTAATCTTTGTAAACGTTTTTGAAAATTATTATTGGATAACTTCGATTGAACAAAATTTTATCTGGCGTGAATTATGTTGTCGTTTGCAATTAAAATATCTATATATGTGCTCATAAAATAAATCAGGTGTTTTCTAAAGAAGACGTCCACAGTTATTTATGCGTTTCTAATATAAAGTACGTATATATAACTTGGAAAAAGTACGTACAGATAGACAATGAAGCAAACAAAATAAAAATAAAGAAAAAAACCAGTGCAGCTGTAATATTTATTTTCTTATTTATCTTTAATCGATATTTTAACTAAACCAATTTAAAAATGTTATTTTTTTTATTTTATTTTTTTAGTTGACTTAATAAAAAAATAAAAAAATACGTTAATATTCTATACATATAAAACAATATAAAATACATATCATAACAGACTAGTTATGTAAAACGTCTGGGACTAAATAAATGATAAAAAAAAAAAAAAAACTAACAAAGTAAAAATGACAAAATGTTTTGTTGATAATATTTCATTATATTCATACACTATCATAAAAGAACATGAACATTTTGAAAAGAATAAGATTAAAAACTACTGTGTCAATATAAAAATACAATATATTTGAGTTAGGAGAGATCAAGAACAATAGCTCGCAAATAGTATTCTGAAAATCTACTAACCCTGACCTATATGATTTTGATATAACATTGTGTTTAGATAAGGAATAATGTTATAAGTGAAATCTAGGTTTGTATGTACTAGAAATGCTTGAAATTATATACATTTATGAACCAAATAAATTTTAAATTTTAAATAAATAGGCTAAAACTTGACCTTATTCACAATATTTTATTAGTGCCGTTTCTTTTATAAAAAATAAAAACATTGATTTATGGTTAAAATCTAAAGAAGTGAATTACATTTTTGTTCCCGGACATCATTACATCAACATGACAATCATCAGTGTACAATTAAAACAAAATATACCTAATTTATAGTTTAAAGCCAGTTTTTCTTTATACAATTTAAATATTTAAAAAAAAAAAAAAAAAAAAAAAAAACTATAATATATATAGGTATTTATAAATCAAAAATTTCAATATTAACATTTTTAATAATTTGCATTTAAAGACTTTATTTATATTCATAAAAAATATATAGGCATTTAATAAAATAAGCAAATTTTCAATAATATATGATAAAATAAGCATAATTCTTTAAGTATTTTATTATTCCTAGTGAGTTATATTCATGACTTTTATCATTATTTTTTTTCTATATATTAATTTAATAAGTGACCCGTCGATATTTTATTTTACCTGATAATTTAATTAAAAAAAAAAATGTTTTCAAGAATGTAATAACAAGAACAAAATTAAATATATGTATAATTTTATATAGAAATATATAATTAAGCTAAAATAACAGTGTATAAATGTAAAATTATAGTTATAATTTATGTTTATAAATATAAATTATGTTATTTTAATTTTTGTACTATTTTTGCATACTTTGAAATCTGAAAATGTTAGTAATTAACCAATAGATGTAAAATGTTTGCAAAATACAATAGAATCAAGAAGACTTAATTTTGCCAATCACTAAACGTATTATATACGTCCAGTTATTTACTGTATAAGCAAAAAAGTCACTAACGTTTTAAGTGTTTTAAAGAGTTCGTGACCCGGAAAGGTTTTTAAGATATTTTAAAATCGTTAAATGGCAATTAGCTCCGAAAAGAAAGTAATAAATCGTCTCAATTAAGAGGTGATTTTTATTTATTTTTTACATTTTTCATTGTCTTAAGTTTTATAAAACAAATTATTTCTATAGCAATAATATTTATTTATCATTATGAAACCACTAAAACAATATTAAGTCCATGTATGTTATTTAAACTACTAGATACTAGATAAAATTATTTATCGTACCTATACATACGTTTAATTTTATGTTATGCCTGTAAAATATTGTCTAAATAGTACATTCATTTTTATCTATACTGTTCGCTTAAAACGTTTTACTATCGTACATTAATAAAATTAAAACAAGTACAACAAAATAGTTATGTACATACATCTATAAAACGCCAAATTAAAAAAAATAACTTGTTCATTATTTTTGATAGAAAATATTTTTTTACCTAAAATTCATTATAGTATGGCATAAATATTAATAAATTATAATAACAATTGTATATGCTAGTTAAAATTTAAAATTGCTTGATAAAATATTTAAAAACTAATAAAATACAGATAAGAAATATTTTATTAAAATAATAAATAATATTTAAAATATTTTATTGTTTATTCTTATTTTTGGATAAAGAGTATTCGACTTTACACATTAATTTTATTTTGTGTACTACAATACATTCACAATTCAATGTATTATTGTGTCTAGTATTATGTATTATAAATAATATCATTTAAATCGTAATAACATAGATGCAAAATATGCAGATGTATACTTTGATCACAATCATTAGAATATTAAGCAATTTCAACGGTTGACATAAGGACGACAATACATGAATACAAAATAGGTATGATAAATAATTTCATTTTCTAAAAGGGATTTCGAACGTGTACGATTGATACGGTAACCTAATAATTTAAAATAGAAATCCTTATTATTTTCCCCTAGAGTGCAGAGTGTAGCTTATAGTGTCACTGAAAATCATAGAAAAAATGTATTATTTCAATTCAATTTTTAAAAGTCTGGATAAACTCTGTTTTGATGTGAAAATTACAGAATAACCAACTGAAATAAAAGTTAAAATAATATAGTTTAGAATTAATGTACTAATAGTTATTTTAGGTAATTGAAAAATAATAATATCCAATATCTTGAACAACTAAATATTAATTTAATACGATTGAAACTCAACAGCTAATAAAATATAATATTTTATTCAAAATAAAAATCAAAATAAATATTTCTATAGCATTAAAATAAAGTGTATCACTAAATTATGTTTTAAAATATTAAATTCTATGTGAATGAAAAAAAAAATGAAGACATAAATTTAAGATTTATTTTACATAAACAAAAATGAACTTGGTGTATCACAATTTGTAATAATCTAATTTATTCTTATCAATTTAATATAATATTTTAGATAGTTTAATAAAATATTCTATTATATTTTTTCTTATAATGATAATATTATTTATCTATTAAAAACTATTTACTCAATAAAATATAAAAACACAAGAATTGGTAAAAAACGAACACATTTATTTCGATGGTAGATATGTTATAACGTAGGTGTACATTAATTAGATACAAATTATATTAATCACACTATGCAAGACTGCTTTGTGAAATCATTAGTTTTTAACGAGAAATACAAAATATATTACAAATAATTGCATACGCCATTAGAAACACACCGCATATACCGCATATATCCATATTTATCACATATATAATTTTAGTATGGCGTGTTTTAAGAAAAATAAAATTCATGGGTATGATTTGAATATTTACTTGTTATTGTGTGGTTGTTACATATTCAATTTATAAATAATATAGCTGTATGTACTATAACATTCGCCATAGATTTTTGAATAAAAACCTATAATTTATTGGTTTCTTAATATTTTAACTTACTAATTTACAGTTTTAAAATTGATTTTTTCATTTAAATACAGAAATAATTACAGGACAGTTCTTAATTAGAGCAAAAATAATTATAACTTTTGATTCATAAGGAATCGAAACACTGATCTTTAAGAGGATGCTACACTCACATGTATTACATTCACTTTACAGAAGTACAATATAGTAAATTTGCTTTCAATAGAACCT